CAAAAAGAACTGTTTAACAGATGGGTTCCAGTAGGTCCATAACTTTTTCGGATCCTTGTCCACTTCACGACTGGGGATTTTGAAGGCAATCGTTTCATAAGGCTCTGCAGCGAAAAGTAAATACTGCCATTTACGATCAGGAGGTTCGACCCGTTGTTCGTAGGCAGACATGAATCTATGCCGAGGAAGAACACCGGCTGAGTCCGCGATTTCGGGATAATCGATTTGGAATAACATGGACTGTTGACCAGTTTCCGGGTCTTTTTGCTTGGTGACCTAGCATGAGAGAAAAAAATCATACATACACAAGAGGGGGGTTGTTACACTGCATCTGCATCTACATGGCCATCACCACCAAAGGTAAGTGAAGATGTGCCGGAAAACCAGTGATATCATAGAAACCGGTTTTTATTACACTTCAGCAGAACCAACAATGGAGGAAGTGGACCTCATAAGCACAAGGATTTTCTATTCGGTGTAAAGAACCAATGTCTTGAGACTTGAGGTGATAAAACAAGACTCAAAGAGATAGACATATTCAACCAAATTTTACCGAAGCTGCCTGTCAAAGTTGGTTTGCAATGCCTAGGTTCGCATCTCGATCCGAGCCCGGCACATTCCGGATGCGTCAGTTGCTTAAAAAAGAATCCAAGATCTTTCCATGCAACTGTTTTTCTCTAAAACGATATTTGCTTGATTAAGATATGAAGGGCAATCGGATAAGATTTTCTCCTTATATGCTTCAGAAAATTTGATACGTTTAAAGCCTCGGGTGTCTGATTTGTAACCCCTCTCCCTCTCTTCCAATAATCAAGAACTCATCGCATTTTATGACGCGAACAAGGATGAGGATCTCGCTCAGCAATTAACCTAACCCTGCTGCACTAATGCATCATCCTCATCATCAGCGAACAGCAAAATACGGTGAAGCGAACTCCATTGATCGCTGCCAAACTCACAATGCACAGAAACTTAGTGGTAATGTGTAAGATGAACAGAGGTGTGAACTATATTGAAGGAGGAAGGTGAACCTCTATGATCAACACAGAGTATGCTTACCAAATGCGTGCGGCTATCTCCTTAGCTGCGCTACCATCATTGGTCACAGAATTACCCAAGTAGGAAAAGCAGTCCATTATAACTAATTCCTGGCCATTTACTTTCACAGCAGGACTAGAAGACACCCAGTCTTGCAGCACGGCTTTGCAATTTAAAAGTGAAAAGCAAATACCGAAGTGCGTACCAGCAATTTTGAGCAACTCAAGTGCGCTTTGTGCGTCCTCCATTCATTCGAACAGACAATCGATGTCACCGACCTACTCCAAATCAAACCGCTTTTCTCCAACTGTTCATTCAATAGTAACAGTAAGTAAAACGCTTACGAAGTTATCGACCCCTTCATCTTGAAAAGTGTGGGACGGAGCCCGCCCGGTTCTGCTGCTTTTCTTGGCTTCACAGCTTGAATACAAGACCGAGCACCTGCTTCTGTCTGCGCATCACATGACACTGCCCGTGGAGTTTCAGTTGTAGTAGTGCCAATCAGGCTAGCGCCAGGTCAAATGAACTATTCGCTGACATACTCCACCCAGTGGTCAAGCCGATGATCCTTATTGTGAACTGCCGGTTCCATTTTATCGCAGACTGTTTCACTAAGTGAAGTTCGCCGACCTCCCGTGTCGCGTACCAGTTGGAGCAGTCTTTGATTATTCCCTGAAATAGCTGGAACTTACATTTCACTAGCTATTTATGCCCACCGGTTTTCGCGGTCCTTCTTGAAGCTCTTTGTGAACCGACGTTGCAGAAGCCACGTGACCCCTTTTTGATCCTGATAAGTCGTAATGTATTAGTTCTTCTCTGTCATGGCTAAAGACTCGTATGATATCCAATACCTCCGACGGGCTTGGGGCTCAGGGTCACAAGAAACATTCGCTGCGGAATGCATTACCCAGATGATCTGATACTAGAGCTCATTTGCACCATCACATTGANCACGTACTGCTGGAACAGACAAGCGATGATGAGTTAACCGAGTTTACTGATTTTGTCGCCAGCCAATCAGTCGGAGAGGGAACTATGTGAAAACTAATGCATGATCAGATTCAACGCAGGTGGTACAATAGGACCAGAAATTTTGTGCTGAGCCACGCCAACGGTAGCTTACTGCTATGTGATCGATTTGTGTTAGCGTAACATTTGAATGGGAGTGTCACGTTGTCGTTCGCCGAGAGCTGTGTCGGAAGTTGGTACTGGATAGGAACAGATGACGGTCTGCACAGAACTGAAGCCGATCGCCGTTAACTGTTCGCAGGTAGGACAGAGCAGAACTACCGCTTAGGGAAGCTTCCGATGCGTTCACTTTTCCGACCTACGTGTTAAAATTACCTCTAAGTACAACTATGTCCGAGCGTCGACTCAACCAAGTGAATTCGGTGAGTTTATTGTATAAGTCGTCTTTTTATGCATTAGAGCTGCATCCGGTGGTTGCATACGCTGAAATGATGAACAAACAAATTTTGGTGTTGTTTTCTTCCGGACGCTAACTGACCCCTGGAGACGCATCGCTTATAAGCGTCTGCTGATGAGGTTCCTTTAGTCTTGGGAAGACTGCAGGTGGTTGGAGCACATGCCGATATGATAAACAGGCACTTGTGGTGTTGCTGCCCTTCCTAATTGAAACCTGGAGCCTCATTGAGCACAAACGACCGTTGATGAGTATCCAATCTATCGGTGAGGCCTCCATTTTATGGCGTGGTACGACTCCTACGCCTGGCTAACCCAGAAAGTTAGCTTTATCGTCTCTTGACATAAGGAAGAAGTACCTCTGGGACAGACCTGGTGCACTCAGATGGTTTATACTACTAGGATCCTGAATCCGTGTGTACGATACACAACAGACATCAATTTCAAGAGTCTATTGTACGCGCCAGACACGCTTGTTGACCTACCTACCTCAACGTCGTCACGTCCCCAGATTGATGTTGAAGAGGATTTGGAATATGCACCTTATTTAGCGGTAAACTGCTATTTGGAAACGACCTTTGGCGAACGATATTCAGGTTGCTTGAGCAACTATTAGGGGTTGAAGGAAAGTGTAAATGGAGAGGGCTGGGTATAGAAGACAAAGAATTAAATATAGGTTCGGAAGTCTGAGCAGAATCCCACTTATCACTACCCACCCCGCTTGATGCAATGGGCAGCGCGGTCCTGATTATCCTGCGTGACGACCGATGCAGTGTGGAATTATTTTTTGTTTGTGTGTGCATTAGAGTTTGATGAGCGGGTACTGCTGGGGTGTCCAGCCGTGAAGCGGGAAAACGATCAGGGTTCTCGACCAAAGCCTTTAGTTCTAACAAGAACCTAGCCGCAAAGCAGCGGGTGAAGCGAAGTGGAGGACCATTTACATACTGAAACACGAATTCTAGTCGAAACCCCAATCTGGAGGACCAGGAGACTGGACTTTGTCTGACCTCTACCCTTTGACCTTCCAGATATGATTAGATCCTCGGCTTGAAAAGAGCCATCCTGTGTAGCTCGTTGGGTCATAGAGGTGCACAAGCCATCATACTACGTCAATATGCAGTCTCGTTTTTTAAATTATAACATTCCAGAACATTTGAGAACTTGAGAATGCATACTTAGAGTCGATTTTTACTTACCCTAATCGAAGATTTTATCCTTGTAATCGAAAACTTGATTTAACTGCTTATCTATCCATAAAATTATGAGCTTCTAAAGTAGTGAGAGTTCCTCCAATTCACTAAAGAATTTCCCATCACTAGACATCATAGTACAGAACTCCTTAACCAACAGAAAAAACTGCGAAAAAGCGAACTGATAGAGAGTAAATTTGATCACACGAGACTACCTTGTAACCAGGCCGACCGATTTTGATGAATTTTTTCGGCTCCACCTTCACCCTTTCTGGTTGCATGGTGGCAGGAGCTTCTCTGGCTTGTTCAACGGCACGTCTCTGTAAATTGTACTGATGCTTTTTACCTAGATGAAGAAAAATAGGCAGGACGAAGCAGACGAATTGAAAACTAAGAATTTTTAATCCACATGAAACAACGCAATACAGCGGTGGACTAATGATACCATCGTTCTCAGTTCAATTACGTGTGGTTAACACGTGAACAAATTTGCTCTGTATGTTCGAAGAAAAGGGTAGCCGGAAGACAGTGAACAAAACCGACGCACGAGAATATAAAAATTAATGAACGTTGCAACTAGAAACTGAATTATGGTCCGTACCAAGTTTGCTTATTTCATATGACATACTTATAAGTGAGAATGAGTCAGCCTATGGATGAATGCGTGAAAAACCCTGGAAATGTGGTTAAGTGGCGTATCTTCAGTACCGCTATCATTAAGGTGCACTCTACGGTCGTAGAGTGGTGGCTTTCTTAGTCAAACAAGCTGAAATTCCATCTGGCAATCGAACATAGCCATGATNGCCATGATCGTGGGACTTGTTAACCGGTTTTATGCACGGTAATCCTGCTAATATTGATCTTGAGACATGAAATTTAAAACAACTGACAATGAAAAGGTAGATCGAAACGTACTCCTAGCGTCCAATGCCACAGAGCGAGCTTGATTATGCATGCGTGAGAATATGTCGACGTATTTTAAACAGTGATAAAGAGTAGGATGGGTAAACATAGTTGCGAGGACCTTTCGCTTACCTATGGAACCTGAAGGTTTGAAGCCTGGGACGTACGGTAACGAGTCACATGGTGCACAACCAGGACAGATTTGATACTGAGTCAAACTGCAGAGTCTGCTAGTCACTAACGTTGCAGCAGTGGCAAGGCTTGAAT